TATAATTAAATAACACGAGAGAGAGAGAGAGAGAGAGAGAGAGAGAGAGAGAGAGAGAGAGAGAGCCCAATTTCGTGGAAATTGCTATGTAACATGCTGCCTGTGGACTGTGGAAATGAGCTCAACCATAAATAGCCACCCTTGGCATATGCAACCTTCTTGAGCTTTAAGATTCAAGATTTAGAGAGAGAGAGAGAGAGGGAAAAGAGAAACCTTCTAATCTCATTTTAAGCAAAAGCAAAAGCAAAAATAAGCAAAAAATGGTGAGAGCTCCTTGCTGTCAAAAGATGGGACTGAAGAAAGGGCCTTGGAGTCCTCAAGAAGATCTTATTTTGATCTCTTACATTCAACAGCATGGCCATGGAAATTGGAGGGCACTCCCCAAACAAGCTGGTAATTACACTTCGACACGTTTCGCTCGTCTAGTTCTTTTCAGTACAGTTTACCAAACATTCTTTTCTTTTTGTGTTTTTTCATTCTGGGAAGAATGTAACTACACAAGAAAGCAAAATTCATTCAAAAATCCATCTGAAAGCTTACTTAAAAAATTTTATTTTATTTTATTTTATTTTTTAATCTTCTCACTGGTTTTGTAGGTCTACTGCGGTGTGGGAAAAGTTGCAGACTACGTTGGACAAATTATTTGAGACCGGACATAAAGAGGGGAAATTTCAGTAAAGAAGAAGAAGAAACTATCATCAAGCTACATGAAATGATAGGGAATAGGTGTGTATCTATCAATCAACTTGCATTTCACATTTATCTATTGATACTTTGCAAACTATAGAGATGTGCTTATGTCGTTTTTGGCTTCATCTCCAAAATTTTAAACCTATCACAGACATCAAGAGGCCATTTTTAATGGTCATTTTATGAATTTTGAGAGTGATATAAATTTACTCATGCACCAGAACCCGGGCACTTTGTCTCTAATCAAGGGACGGAGTCGGGAATATAATCCAGCAGAGGTATGCCGATTATTAAAACCCGAATAAGTGTTTCCGGATCTCGGGTCTCATACTTTTGAAATAGTTAAAATAAACAAAAATATTGATCTCTAGTAAGAGTAATGCTATTCATCGTCGTTGGTGTTAAACGATATTAAATGATAGATTCATTTAAATACAAAATCATATAACTCGTTTAAGTGAATGATGTTTTGATGTTAGATATCATTATTTTCTTATAATATTTGTATGTACTGATGTACACATTGGAATAATCAAGATTAGCAGAAAAGATTCTCTTTAATAACAATTCCAACGTTAATCAAGGCTACAAAATCATTAAATGACTGTACAGACATCTATGCACGGCATGATCTGTATCTGCTTAGGATTTCTTGTCTAAATAATTAATCTGAACCACTGGATTTCATGTTTGTTACTGTTATTAAATTTTAATTTATCCGAAAAATTGCTGCAGCCAAGCAAATATTCACAGGTTTATTTTTTTATTTTGTTTTTCAGATGGTCTGCTATTGCAGCAAGATTACCCGGTAGAACGGACAATGAAATAAAAAATGTCTGGCACACACACTTGAAGAAAAGGCTCAAAAATAGTAATACTTCTGAGGATTCCAACAGAAACTCAATCATTCAAAAATGTGATTCTAGTAAAGCTCCTGGAAATCCCAATTCCTCTAGTGAACAAATTGTTGATAGTCCACAGCATTGCTCTAGTGAAATGTCATCAGTCACGGATTCATACGAGAAAACGGTTACTAATCACGAAGAAATGGACAATTCGTCCGAGTATTTTCCTCAGATCGATGAAACATTTTGGTCGGACGACTTCTCCACAGACGTTAACATAAACATGCAATCATCGAACTTCCCGGCTGCTGCGAACGATAAAGTTCAGTTCGAATTTCCTTCGTCTCCCTTGGAAAACGCCGCCGCCGGCAATTTAATGGTTGATGATAGCATGGACTTTTGGTACAATGTTTTCATTGGAGCAGGAGATATGCCTGATTTACCAGTGTTTTGAGTGCTGTTTTGGTTGTAATATATATTTAGGACAGGATATTCAATCATGGGATGCTGATTTTCCAAAGGTGCCAAATAATGGAATCATTTCATCGTCAAAGTTAGCAGAAATTAAGAATGTAATTAGGATATTTTCTTTGTGTTCTCATTAGGAGAAAAATAGTGGAAGTTGACATGAAAAGGAAAGAAGGGAATTTGATTAGAAATTTGGTTTGAACACACTTAGATTTGAAGGATTTAAGGGTAGGAAAAAAAAATTGGGACTAGGGACAAAAGAAATCCTAGTTATTTTCCTTCTAACCCATGTTTGTTAGTGAAGTTTATTGTTTTCTTGATTATAATGATGGGAATTGTGTAATTTTGATGAGAAGGATGATTAAAATTAAGGAATACAGTATCGTTATTTTTGTTACCATATAATTGGTGCTAAGCACCATCTATGTGACAATGTAGTGACATTAAATATTTTAAACTAAATAGATTTTTATATTTAATTGGACTTATCATTTAATGTTATAATAATGTCATGATAAACACTCATGGTTCTATATAGCAATATTATTCAAAACGCGTTTTTTTTTTTTTTTCCTTACATGGTGGTTAATGAACTAACGTGTGCATTGATGGTTCTTATTAGAAAGAAAGCACTGGTACCTTACTGACTTGGCACCGCTTAGGTACAACATTTAATCCATTTCTTTATTTGAAAAAGTAGTAATTCAATAAATATTAAAGCAATATATCTATACACACACACACACACACTTTAAGAGTCCGTTTGATTGCATGAATGAAATTTGGGTAGAAGGAAAACAAAATTCGGGAAATTGAATTGTTTAGAACTTGTTTTCCTGAGAATTGTCAATTAAAGGGAAAAAAGTTGTTATAATTGTGGGAATTGGTTTTCCACAAAACCAAGGAAATTGTTCATTTTGGATTTGGGTGGGGGTTTGCAATTAAATAAGCCAAAGAGATGAAAGATGTGGCAAATCAATCAAGCCCTAATAGTCACTCATTGATGAAAATTCACCCACACACACTCAAAATCTGATTTGCACATTTCTTAGTTTATTATTATTATAGTTGAAATGATGAATAAATATACATTGGAATATTAATGTGTATTCCTTGTACCTTAGAAGAAAAATCAAACTCATAAAAGTCAAATTTGGACACGAATTAATGCATTTCACATCATCAATCAACAAGGACTGTTTTTAATCTCCCCCAGTTAACATTATTATTATTCTTTCAATTTAGTCCCTACATTAAGTTTAAAATAATTATCACAATGCTTGGTCGAAGTCAAGAAAGTGATCCAGTCAACTTTTTGGGAATCACTTCATTTGTTCGTTGAATGTCTTTATCAACTTTTTAAGTCGTCTCTTAATTTAATTAGTTTCGTTGAATTAGTATTCTAATTTCTTTGAGTGATACTATTTGTAGTGGTTTACTGTCGTAATCGCCCTATGTGATATTATGTAACGGTTAGTGATTTGATACATTAATGTGACAATTTTTTATTATATACAGTAAATCACTAATCGCTACATGATTGTCACGTAGGACGACTGCGGTAGTAAGCGACTGTAAATAGAATTATTCAATTTCTATTTGGATTAGGGAATTTCATGTCAATTGTTTCCTTCAAGCTTTAGATATTGGATTTTGCTAGGAAAACAGGGAAACTGCCTCCTAGTTACTTAAGAATGGCAATTAGGCCAAGCCACTCTTCGACTCGCCTACTCAGCTCGTGAAAATGGAGATCGTGGGCGGCTCAGATCATAAAAATGCGAGCCTGAGCACGAGCCGAACTAGCCTGGGCGTTGGGCGAGCCGAGCTCGTTCGGCTCACACGGAAGAAGAGTCGCTCATGGCTTTAAGTGACCAAAACGGTCACTTTTTTGAAAAAGTAACCGTTTTGGTCGCTTTTTCACCTTTTCAGTGACGAAACGGTTACTGAAAAATTCAGTGACCGTTGTGGTCACTGAATTTTTTTAATTTTTTTCTTCTTTCCCCACTTCTATAAATAGCCCCCATTAACTCCAATGTTTTTCATCTCAAAACTCAATCCTCATTTCTCAACTCTCTCAACTCTATATCTATCAAGTTTCAACACTCTTATACAAAATATACAATATTAATTCATTTATTACAGTTTATTCAGTTTCAATTTCAATTCATCCAATTCTCATTTCTCACTATATTTATTGAAATTTCGTCCAATTCTCGTTTCTCACTACATTTATACTTTTATTAGTTATTATATTTGGATTTCATCACAAACAATTAAACAAATGGATCAACGCTCATTTGTTGAAAGCTTGTTTGATACGGGATGTGGGCCACATGGCGAATCATCTAGGACACTGCAAAGTCAATTTCGAAATGAATTTGTCGGTCTAAATGACGTACCCCATACCTGAAGATGTTCACATTCACGATTATAGAAGTCACAATCCAATTGATATGGATGATATTAACGTTTTCGAAACGAAACATGAGGCTGAAGAGTTCGAATTAAACATTCCAAATGCGAGGGGAAAGCGAAAAGGGAAAAATCAAGCAAAATGTTGAATCACTTTAAGTTGATTTCAATGGGAAAAGTCGTTAATGGCCTCGCATAATTTAAGGCAGTATGTAAATACTGCCCCCAACAAAGATTGTTATGAAAAAACGAATTGGTACAACACATCTCAACCGTCACTACAAAGTATGTGCGATCAAACATGAACTTCTTCTAGCCAGTCAAACACAATTACAATTTGCAAGTCCAGGCGTCGGTTCTACGACGTCACCCCTATCCACGTGGGTATATTCAGAGAAGAAAGCTCGAACCGAAATGGTGAAATTTGTTGCCGCAACTAAGTTGCCTCTGGCTATTGTCGACAACCAACACTTCGTCTCCTATGTGAAAGAATATCTGCAACGAAGATACGTTGGGATGAGTCAAAACACTCTTTGTGCCGATACAATACAATATTTTAATGATTCAAAACAACAATTAATTGTGAATTTGCAACAATATGTGTGTGTTATATCTTTAATTTCTGATATATGAGAAGGGATTAATAAAAGAGCTTATATAACTGCAAGGTACACTATATAAATCCATCTTGGTGCATGCATAAAAAAATTATTGCTTTTAGAATTATTAAGTTTCCTTACAATGCTAATAATATATATAATGTTATTATCAGTATTGTTAGAGAATATAACTGTAAAACTAAAATTCGGTCTTTTACTTTCGATAATGCTAGTGTTAATAAGGTAGTCGTCGATAAATTGTGTACGGTACTTCAACCTGATTTCGGTGGGTATTTGTTTCATATTCGTTGTGTGTGCCATATTTTGAATTTAATTGTACAAGATGACTTAAAACATATAAATGATGAACTCCAAAGGATTAGGAATGCACTATTATATATTACGATCTCCCCCAGTAGAAAATAAGCTTTTGAAGATTTTTATGCCGAACTAGGGGTGACGACTATTAAAACATGTGTGTAGCTACGTAGACCATAGATGAAACTCTACTTACTTGCTATTAAAGTCATGTAAAGATTTCAAACATTTAATAACTAATTTTTATAACAATAGACACGTTAGAAGCGATGATGATGTTATGTTGAATGAATTCGATTGGGTTTTAGTTTTGAAAGTTAAAAGATTTTTGACCTCTTTTTATGAGACCACAAAGATTTTATTGGGCGTTTAGTATCTCACAAGCTGTATAGTGCTTGAACGCATTTATATAATTGTAAAAACATTTCATAAATATAAAAATGATCTTGATTTTAGTGAAATTATAATTGCTATGGAATTAAAATTTAGAAAATATTGGGAAGACCTGTCTATGCTATTTTCTTTAGCATTCGTAACGGACACTCGATATAATTTATCGAAAACTAAATACATAATTGATCAAATCAACAAAACCTTAACGTTTGATACACCTATCACCTATAGGAATTTAGAACAAACATTACATGAAATGTATGAATTATATGCGGAACGAATGGGTGTGAATGTTTGTCGAGTACCCTCTGCACCTACTCCTTCAGGTAAAATTGAAGAAGATGATGCCGATATAATGAATTTATTTCAAGGCATTAATACATATAGATATTATGCAACTACAATGTGTTTATTTAATGTCATATCGTCTACATCTGCATCTCAACAAACATCAGCCGCAACTCAAAATGCGATGCCTACTGAATTAATTGATTACTTCTATCAGAATATGTCAACAGACAAAATAATTAAAAAAAGTTCAGAAGAAGTAATTGAATTCTGGTGAAAGTATGAAAGACGTTGATAAGTTATTTCTGCAATTGCGAAAGATCTGCTGACACCTCCGATTAGTACTGTTGCTTCGGAGTCTGCTTTTAGTGCAGGTAAAAAGGTTTTGACCGATATCAGGAGCTGGCTGAAAGAAGATATTTTGGAAGTGTTACTGTGCGTGAAAGATTGGCAGGATGCTCATTTTCGATTACAAGATAAATACGCTGAAATTACATGTCGTCAGTTAAGTGATATTTGATTTAGTTATATTAATCAAAATTTCTAATTTTTAAAAAAAAAATTATACACGTTACAACAAATTGTTGGTGTGCAATTTTTAACTTCACCTAGTTAAAATTGATGTCCCAATCCCAGATAAAGAATGAGGGTTTACATTTTATTTATTTTAAAAAGAAATCGAAAAAAAATATATTTTTTGTAAATGTATTTCAAAAAAAGTTCATTTTCATTACATAAATATTTAACACTTTATAGAAAATAGTACTAAATGATATAAATAAAAAAATTATCTTCATTAAATTATTTTTTAAAAAATACATCTTTTTTTGTACATAAAAAAGGGGGACGACCTTGCGAGCCAAAGCTCGGCTCGACCCATGTGCTCGGACGAGCCATGAGCTCGTGGGCCAAGCCAAGTTTGCCCAAAATGAATGCGAGCTCGGCTCATTGAAAACTAGCCACGAGCTCGGCTCACCACGAGCGCGACCTGAGCTCGTGCGACGTACGGGCCGAGCCGGCTTGGCTCGGTCCATTGACATCTCTACTGTTACTTCAGCAAAATCCTTAGATATTTCTTGTGCGTGTTGTTTTTAAATTACTGACTCGCATTCATTCATAGACTCTAAATCTATCTATGTTCTTTAGTTTATATTTTGTTATATCACGGAATATCCTACGCCAATATGATATTACAAAACATGTTTAATACATTGAATAGAATATACGTAATTACAAATTGTATTTACGAAAAATAAATTAAAATAGACCTCCACTAAAGTTTATGACAATAAAAAGGGAAAAAGAAAAATTCCATAAACATAAATCTTAGCATAGATTTCTCAATTTGCCATTCGATAAATAACTTTAAAAATGATAAATACTGTTACACCTCTTCCAATGAGGCTCTAAGCGTTGACAAATAGCAGCTGCATCACAAGAGAACTTAGGCTTGCACTCCACATCATTCTACACACGTAGCAATTTGGTCGAACCCCCCATGCTGAGCCCCCATGAATGAGGCCAGGAAGGTAGAGGCATCTTAAGGAAGATCTTCATACAAGATCTTGTAATAAGTGGGTGATGTGACAACTCACTGTATGGGCGGCTCAACTCAATCAGCAAATCAAGTCTAGTCTTACATGTCAGGCCTAGGAGCTTGACTGATTGATGCCTATGATAAGAGGCCTTAGCCTCCAAGATAAGGCCATGTGTCTCTTCATCCAACGGCTCTTACTCATCCTCTTCTATTATAAAAGTTTACACTTGATATCATTCCAAACGTAATGCAAGTTTAGATTTTGATACTATAACTTTGCTCTCTATATTCTTTACTCCCGATTCCGACCCCTTTTATATTGGAGGCTCATGTTAAAAGCCTTCCCACACCCACATATATCTTCTCCAATTGACTTGATCATCAGAGTGCGTGCGACTGGTTCCACCCCCACCGAAGAAGGCCATGTGTGTCTAACGATTTGTCTTAGTGTGCAAGAAAACGACTTGTTCGGATGTGAGAGGCCTCGCAATCTATTGGCCATCTGGAGGTACACTTTTTGAGGTCAACAAATACAATACTTTAACTAAAGCATTTGATAAATCTGTCACGAATGTGAAAATTGGGAATCCAGGTTTTCCTAGCACTATGCGTTGTTTTATAACATATTGATGGGAAACAGGTTGATTTTATTTCATTTTGTATACATGTTTTATGGTAATTGTATTTATATGTTAATTCATTCTTCACCAATGGAAAATGATTGTGTATTAATGTGTTACGGAGACAAGGGGGACGAAATGAGAAACTATGTTGGCTTCACAACAACTGGAACAAGATTTGCCTTGAAATATTGCTGTTAAGTTGTAAAGCTTAATTATTGTTGTTGTGTAGAGTCTATATGTAGATTGACCTCTGTCATGAAGTCGTTGTCGAGGTAGACAAGGAGGACAAGAGGCCCCCCCCCTCCAAGAGGTGTAGGAGTGGAGTCCTCGGATCAAAATTTCATTAAAAATTGTTTAGGAATTTCATACTTATAATTTCGATTTTACCCTAACTTGTCTTATAAATAGGGAGCCGTTATTACGTTTCGTATTATTATCACCAAATCATCAAAAAGAGAGAAATGTTTGAGAAAAATAGGTTCCACATTTTTCTCTTGTAAACTTCTTTTTATCAGGGTGAATTATTGTAGGGACGAAGATGACGTAATCTTACATTGAAGTGAACCTTTATAAATATTACATATTCTTATGTATTTATTTCATTTTTACGATTTTATTATAGAATTAAGGTCACTAATTCTCAACAATACTTGAAGCAACATAAGTGGAGCTCAAAATTTAATATTGGGTTGAAAATTAGCTTCCACAATTCAAATTTGCAGTGGGTATATATTGTGTGTCAAGAGAAGTTAAATTGATCATACGGGTTTTCACTTTATGTTGATGCTACATATGTCAAAGAGCAATGCTATAGAAATAGGCTGAAAAACAGATTGCACACATTTCGATGTATAATTGGAGAGTTTGAAAAATTTTAAAAATAAATAAATAACCAACAACTTACTGCCATGTCAGTTTGCTTTCTATTCCCAATTTTTGAACCTGTCTGTTTATCATTTTTGATGTCGAAGATGGTCATATAATTATGAATTTGCAAAAGAGATCTATAAATTGTGATGAATTTGAAGGGAAGCAATTATCATCATATCAACCTCGTGAACCATATTTATTAGTTCAAGAACTGGGCATCGAAATTTGAGCTATGTACCAATAATTAAAGATCGCAAAATTTAAGAAAATCATGACAATGCGTAGCAACCAAATGCTGGAAATGATTGGTGATTGCAAGTGTATGGTTGTACGCAATAGAAAAAGAAATTGAGTGCAAAGGGGATATATATATATAAATGTACTAGAAAGGTTTTACTTTTGAAATATGCTACTTGTACATAATGTGTTGTTCATAACGATATCCATTCCACACATTTGAATAAATTATATTTTCTTTGAAATGAACCCCTCTTCATGTGAAAAACGTGAACACCGTTATAGATGTCTTAATGTACATATAACATCACTATTTACTTTCTATGACATTAGCCGTAAGACGAAGGGATGCCCCCTCAAAAAGGGAGCTATGGGTAACAAGACCGAACGACAAATGTCTCATCAACAAATAATCACAAAGATTTATAACCCCGAACTTAAACCCCCCATTTGATGATGATTATTTCCAAATTATTTTTCCTACACTCATTTTCAATCACATTTACAGAATAAAATAATTCTGCACATAAACTCAAAACTTTCCCTTTACTTTCAAATCACATATTCCCATAAAAATTACTATTCAAAATTCTATTTTTACCAAACAATGATTGTCAAACAAAGGCTAAACTTGGTCATTCTTGATTTGAATAATCAATATGATTGCCATTGATTGGAATCAAGGCTCCTTGATTGATGATTGATTGTACAACCAATTGTTGTAGTGGATTCGTTGATATTGCAGAGGTTCTGATTATCCAGGAAAGAACAGAGAAAAAAGAGGGGAATGAAATAATTTTGCAGTGTTATTATGAACAACCAAAAGCCCAACAAGAGAACGAGAGTTTTTCTAGATTAATCGACCATAGAGACCCCAACAACAAAAAAATAAATAAATAAATAAATAAAAAACAAAAAAAGATTAGGTAGCCAGTAACAGAGTATAATTCTTCCAAATTTTCTGTCATTATTTCTACGATACGTATAACCTTAATAGATCGACAATGAAGTCTATTTGGCATTAAGACAATTATCGCAGGCGTATCACTTCATGGAAATAAATGTTATGTGGGCAAAGAAGAAATTGTTGGTTCAAAATCAATTAGTTTGACAAAGTGGGAAGACGACTGGGAAATTGCTCCATTACAGTCATACATTTATACCATCCAGGCAGATAAATTGGGCATGACTAGAAAGTGCGTTAAATCTTAAAAATCCTCAAACAAATCACAGGTACATAGCGAGATCTATAAAAGCAGCATATCCATTGTTTATCAATCAACAAGATCGACAATGGAATTATTCAAAACAGTAGCTACTTTAATCGCCATAAATGGAATAAGTCCTTTTTTACCACGAGACGGGAAATTTATGTGAGACACGAGTATGCCAGATCTTTCTCCTCACTGAGCTCTTTAGCAGTCAAGTCCAACTTGTTCCTAGAATACTCATCAATTGAGAGTCCTGCAATGTACAAACAAATACTGAGACTCCTTTGATCGATTTCATTATCTTCTATCCAGGACAAGTCGACCAGGGGGGAAGGGTGGGATGGGTGGTTGAGGTTGACGGAAAACAGACGTCCTAACAGAGTCATATAATAAAAAGATTCATGGGGAAGTTACTAAAAGACCCGAGGGCAAAAGACAAATTTAGAAAGGGATGATTTTAACAAAATGGGAATTCATAATACCACAGGAAATGGGCTGCAAATAAAATCCTATACTACACATTTCAACATTTTAAAGTGTTCATACACCGCATAATCTAAATAAAGGCTACAAATTCAAGTTTTTCAGTTTTCATCCATGCTCTCACCTTGCACAATAGACCATTCTCCATTCTTGCAAGTAACTGGGAAGGAATAAATTAGACCAGCTGGGACATTGTATGAGCCATCAGAATAAACACCCATGGAAACCCAAGTACCCTGTAATATAATAAAACAAATTTAAAAAGGTGCATGAATAATGACTATTGATAAATCTTGATCTATGACAATTATCATTATCAAAAGAATGATGAGGAAGAAATCTACCTCTGGAGTTCCAAGGAACCAATCACGAATATGGTCACAAGCAGAACTAGCAGCAGAAAGTGCACTCGAAAGCTTTCTAGCTTTGATGATTGCAGCACCACGTTGCTGGACAATAGTAATGAACTCACCATTCAACCTAGAAACAAAATCAAAATAGGTACAGAGAAAATATAAAATACAAGGTAAGCTTTCGAATTTCGATAAATATAAAAACATTTCATATGGAATTATAGATACTAAAGGCTGAAACTTTAACCAAAGCTTTATACCATTCATCATCAGCAACAAGTTTGCGGACTGGTTTCTCTCCACCCGGAGTATTGACTGTGGCATGATTGACATCAGGATACTGAGTTGAAGAGTGATTTCCCCAAATAATGACATTTTTAACATCTGAGACTTGAACACTCAATCTCTCTGAAATTTGTCCAAGAGCCCTGTTGTGATCCAATCTAGTCAGACAAGTAATATTCTTCTCTGGGATAGATGGTGCAAATTCCTTTAGTATCAATGCATTGGTGTTGGCAGGGTTAGCAACAACCAAAACCTGGAAGCAAAACATACAGCAAAATGAAAACTAGGACTCCTAAGCAAAGCAAAAAAATATCCTGCTACATGATTTTAAATTGCTAAAGATGTCAGGTCTTTAACAAGAATCTTAAAGTTCCATCATGGTGAAAATTAACAGATCAGAGAGGATATGCGTAGCATTTAAACAATATATTGATACTTCATAATCTCTACATAATATTGGTCAGAATTTAATTTTTAAAGGTCACATTCTTTCAGTTGAAAAATGTATTTATTTCTAAAATTAGAAAAGATTTCTATACTTTCACGTACCAAAGCCCATATAGGTGCACCTAAAAATCAATTTTTAATAGATTTTGATAAAGGTTGATGAAATGTGTGGTTGAAAAGTTGATAAAAGGTTAGGGTACCATGAAAGGTAAGTTAAAATTAATTGTTGCCTTTGACTTACCATTGTTGACTTTGATTTGGATTTTTATCAACTTTTTAAGATACACCAAACATGGACAAAATCTATGTAAGTATTATTAAATAAAGGGTCATCAAAGAAAAGTCTTGAAAGGCAATTACCTTGCAGTTGGCAGCAGCATGCTTCTCAAGTGCTGACGCCTGTGACTTGTAGATGGAGACATTCTTTGACATTACATCTTTTCTCTCCATGCCTTCTTTCCTGGGGAAACCACCAACCATCACTGCAATGTTGACTCCAGTGCATGCTTCAACAACATCGGTTGTTGCAACTACACCTGATTCAAATATCATATTAGATGGATAGAAGTTATCTCCTTTCAACCCATACCCCGTTTGGCATATAAAAATTCAAAATAAATAAGCTATTGACATTTATATTCAATACACAGGAGTAAATTACTAACCTTTGAGAAGAGGGAATGCAGCATCAACCAATTCCATTTTCACTCCATTAAGTGCCTCCGCAGCAGGTGGAATATCTAGCATGTGGAGGATGACAGGTTGGTCAACGCCCAACATCACTCCCCTGGCAATCATGGGAACAAGAGCATATCCGATTTGTCCTGCAAAATTAGCAAGTTTCATCTTAATATCCTAGAAAATAATAGTTGAGCAAATTAAACATTTTGATGCAGATACTTAAACAAAAACCACTAATGCTCAACCATATAAATAGAACTCCCTCTGCTAAATTGTGGCTTAAAATGGATTGGCTTTTTAGATAAGATATTGGCCTCGAGAATATTTTCAGATTTTACATCAATGTAATTCGAGTCATGGATCCTGTATTTCTCCATCACCAATTGTTCCACCAACAACATGAGACACCCAAGACCTGCCATTTCTTTCAGTTCCATTTATTTATTATTTAGTTTTCTAAATCAAAGGCTTAACATGGATCTCATAATCAATTCAAAATTTTTAACCCTTTTCATTCCCAGAGATAAATTTCACGTTGACAAAAATGGGAAAACCAAAAAGAAAGTTTTGCATCGAATTTGTTAGTATCTTGAATGACTTCCAGCCTTCAACACGCACTTCTGATGCTATCAAATACGACTTCAAAACCAAAGAAAAGAAAAATAAGGATCACTTTACCATTTGCTAAAGCAACTTACACATCCATACAAACACTTCACATAGATGTCCCTACTTTAGTTATATGGTATAATCAGTAAACTCAATTTGAAAGAAAATAATAAGAAAGACAGTTCACTAGATTCCATCGAAAATCAGTTTGACACTCATGCCCCATAAACCATAGATAAATCACTCTACTATCAAATTGAAGATCTGGTTTTTACGGTAAAACCGATGGTTACCCATATACATATTTTATTTCAATAGAAAAATTAAATCCTAAAAGAATATTCAGAACTATCAGATATTCAGATTTAAAGATTTATATAAATCATCAACGTAAAATAGGCTTCATCAAAACATAAATTTGATTGTGTAATAGTCAAAACACCACAATATCAGATCTACACATCAATTAAACAGAAAACGTCATTAAATGATGTGTCACAGATAACTGGAAGAGTAACGGTAGATCTCGAATGAAAGGTGACTTTAGTAGAATTAAGTTTCCGATTTACCTGCGGCGCCGGTGACGAGAACACGGATTGGATCTTTCGCCATTTGTGATTGAGATCAGATTTGAAAAACGATGCAATCGACGAGATTTATTTGCTATTTTAGTGAAAGAGTAGAGACAGTGGGAGGATATAGAGCGGCCGATATTAATCGGTAAAGTTTGATATAGACAGGGAAGTTTTTGATATGTCCACCACTTGTTTCTCAATTCGTTAGACAACGTTGTCCAGTTGGAGATCGCCACGTGTAACCTAGATATCAATGAGCATGCTTCTTCTTACCATGAAAATCGAATAATTCTATGTTCCATTGTTTCGTCTTCGTTATTTTTACAACGTATTTTTATTAATTGTGGCAAAAGTTAATGAAATGTAATAGTGCATTTGATTACGAGTATGGAATTTATATGAAAAGAAAATAAATTTTAAATAATTTAATTGTCTTAGAATTTATTTGCATAAAAATTATTAATTAAATGTGTTTGATTGATTTAATTTTCACATTAGAAAATAATATACCTGTCTATTTTTTATTGGTGGATAGATAAAAAAGAGTGGATATATGAGAAAAAGAAAGAGAGTAAATTTCCTGGAAAATAAAATTACAAGGATAAAGATGTATGTACACATAAGGGGGTTACCAAATCGTTTACATCCCTTCACAGACATGCAGGTCCCACCTGTTATTAAATAATTCGAGCTGTGGTCCCCACTTTATGTTGTGAGTAGTGTGTAAAAGATTGTGTACATGTAGCATGATCCAAATTGTAAAACCAAAGTCTTCAGTTGGCTTTATTTTATTTTTTTGTCTTAACCTACCCCAAGTTGATGCATTCCCACCAAGTTGATGCATTTCCACCAAATATAAAGAAGCTGACGATGTCAGGCACCCTGCTTGATTGGGATCAATGTCTACTCTAGGAATGTTGGAAAATCTTGAGATCCTTAAGTTGAAAGATGATGCATTTAAGGGAGACCGATGGCAGACGGAGTAGGGAGGATTCCGTAATCTCAAATTCTTGTGTATTGGAATACTGATTTTGTGTTTTGGGAGACACTTTGTTTTGTTTTTGTAATTGAACTAGGACTGACTGATTTTGTAATTTGATGCAAGTTGCATCGTGATTAACTGTATTTATGGTTTCTATTAATGAAAAGGCTTTCATATTACATTTGAACATTCTCCTTCCAGGTCATTCAATGTTCAGAATGTTTTAGTGAATGGTATAGCAGTTATACTTTTAAGAAGATGTTTATGTAAATAGTGAATGATATATCAGGTTATTCAATGTTCAGAATGTTTTAGTGAATGGTATAGCAGTTATACTTTTAAGAAGATGTTTATGTAAATAGTGAATGATATATCAGGTTATTCAATGTTCAGAATATCTTGGTGAATGATCTAGCAGTTATATACTTGGCGATTTCATGTAACCAGCTTGTCTTTGTCATGTAACCATCTTGTATTGAGTAAATGTTAAATGTCCTGGCTATTGGTTCCTTGACACATCTTAGTTGTGTTTTTGACATTATATTCAGCCTATTTTTTGAAAAAGAGTGCAAGGAATTTATCAGGCAACCAAGTGCTTAGTTTGTATATATAGTGATTTTATTTATAAACATTCGTGTTTTCGACATTATATTCAGCCTATATGAAATAGTTCCAGTCAAAATTTCTATTTACAAATTCCGATCCTGAGACACAAAATTAATCATCTATTCCGTGCCAAGTTAATATGTCCTTCTTACATATAGTTGTTGACACATAAAAATTCAGCCCAAGGAATGAAGCACAATTAAATGATCCCCAAATCAGGTAGCCCAAAGAACGAAGCCCAATCGAGCAAATCAAGATGAAGGCCCAAATAAGGAGGCCCAAGAACGCGGTAACGCCATCGCCAAAGTTTGCAAGTCGCCCAGAATCTGAGCGAATGGAGGTCATGCAGTCGCCCAGAGCTATTACTCTATTCTCGCTCAAACCTTCAAGTTGCCCAAGGTATTAACAAACATAACGCATCGTGATTATCAAGAAGTGCAGTTATCAAAGCAGTTATTAAAGCAGCCCTATCACGTTCCATGATCCGAGGAATTCAATCGAAAGCGGTTAAACGATGAAGGGTAATGGCAGCAGTTAAAAGGCAGTTTTTATGACAAAGTGGCCATTACGAAGAAAGTGGGTAATTATAGGACGATCAAGCAGTTTTTAGAGTAGTTGATCACAAAGAGATCGTTTATGAAGTATAAAAGGGAGAAAGGACATAGAAGCAAGGGACTGAATCCAAAACTCTCGAATAGAGAACATGTAATTTTCATTTTCTTAGTTTTTAGACTTAAACACTTTCCTTTCAGTAACTCGTGTGCTTGCGCCCCTTGGAGGCACGTTGTTTTTAATTTCCAATTGTAAAGTCATCGCCAATAAAAGAACACCCCTTTTTGGGACTTTGTCTCAAGAGGTTTGTCCTTTACACAATCGTCTGATCATTTTTAATTGTTAGCGACTAACCCGCGCGAAACAATTTGGCACGCCCGGTGGGACAGTGGTGTTAGGTGTTGAAAGTACAAAAGGGGAAATAATATGCCTCAAAGATCCGATAAGGAAGCAGCAAGTCAGGGAGGAATCCGGTCTGTAATCGAGCAATATGAGGAGCAGCATGCCTCTCCACGAACAGATGGACAGAATCAGAGCAGTAACAGTCGTTACGAACCAATGACGGAGTTGAGTCCTCGAACCATGCGTGCATTACTTGGAGAACTCACGCAAGACGTCGTTGAACAGGTAAATCTTCGAAGCATTCATAACATGGAAAGATTTACACAAAATGGGAATGTACACTATGACAACATGGCCAAACAACTAAAGACGTTGAACGAAACAATGAATAAGTTAGTAGGCCAAATATGTCAACCGGCTATACCTCTTTCAAATCACTTTCAAACTAGGATGATTGTGGGACATAATCCCTCAGTCCTAAATCCGAATCAAGGGGTAGAACCGCTTTCTGGTCCCTCTACTTCAAACCAAGGGGGTACTACAGTACCAAATCAAAGCAATGGTAGTGGTATGCCTAACTTGGGGGGTAATCGAAACGTGGGAGATAATATCCTAAACAATGGATAGAATATTCCACGTGGTAACGAAGGAGTAGATGTTCAGTCTAATGGTAATGGCCCTAATCATGGTAATTTTGTTGCCAATCAAGGACCAAATATCAGGCCTCATGCAAATCAATCGGTTAACCAACCTGTAGGAATTCCATATGACCCCAACATCATGTTAAGGAACCAGATTATGGAAATCGTACAGGATCAGATGGCTTTTGGGGTACGTCCCGTCATTAGCCCGACGTACACAAAGCCATATCCTGATTGGGTAGACCAAGCATATCCATGGCCTAGAGGGTACAAAGTGCCAGTATTCTCACTGTTTATCGGGTTAGGAGAGGTGTCTACTCTAGAACACATAGGGCAATTCACATTGCAAAGTGGTGATGTAACCGATTACCATAAAATGAGGCTTTTCCCTAGTTCGTTAACAGAAGTAGCTTTCTCCTGGTTCATCAACTTGCCAGCGAACTCTGTTCAAACATGGCAACAATTGGAACAGTTGTTTCACGCTCAGTTTTATAAAACTGAGTTTGAAGTCACTTTGGCCGATTTGGCGAATTTACGTCAAATGCCAAATGAATGGGCAGAAAGTTTTCTCCAAAGGTTCAAGACAGCAAGAAGCAAGTGTTTTGTACCTTTGCCCGAAAAAAGAATTTGTCAAGATCGCTTAAGGCTGCTTGAGCTTTGATTTAAAGAAGAAATTCCAGGACAAGGAATTTCCTGATCTTTTCCAGTTGAGTGCGAATGTGATTAGGTATGAGCGACTGATAAGAGAGGAAGAACAAATGAAAAATTCTAGTAAAGGGACTTATTATAAAGACCCAAATTTTGACGTTCATACCATCGACGACGAGTCATACGATCAGGCAGAAATGTGTTTGGCTGAATTGGCCAAAGGGGATACATATACTTGTCCCATAATGGCCAAGCCTAGACCATCGGGCAAAGATGAGCCCATAAAAGATGGAAACATAAAGGCTAGAACGTTCTCGTTCGACGTGACCAAAGCTGACCTTATATTCGATAAATTATATAGGGATAAGCAGATAAAGTTGAGCGATAAACACAAATTGCCAAACCCTGAATAAATTAAGGGTAAAAAATATTGTAAATGGCATAATGCATGGTCACATTTGATTAATAATTGCTTGGTTTTTGGTCATGTATTGCAGGATGTCATTGAGTCAGGACGAATTACGTTCGATGATAAGAAAAAGATGGCAGTGGACGAGAATCCTTTCCCACAGTCACTTGGAGTAAACATGGTAACATCTGGATTCAAGAACAAGTTACCAAAATTCAAGTTGGTCGTAGATTATGGAGAAGAAGATCCTAGACCACATCCCAGCGTCTTTGAACGAATCAAGGGGAAAGAACCAAAAAAGGACGAAGACGTCCTGTGTGCAAGGTGTAAAAGAGAAGTGAATGGAAACACGGAGAAACCAGGGACATGGCAGCATCCTCATCGCCCTACCTTCTTCCCAAACATTCAGTCTGGTAGAGAGCGAGGTACATCATTCTATAGAGGACCGCCTTTTGAAAGGCAGTTCAGGCCAGCAGATACTGGAAGAACATTTAGGCCGCAACCTCGCCGGCCAAATGTATGGCATTCATTCCAGTACAGTGCAGGAAGGGCAATACCCTTCGATGAGATGACTAGGACCCAACAAAGGCGTTTCCAACGAAACTACGGACGAATGATGAGGCAGCAACAGGGAATGCCACATCCTAAAGCGCCTAAACTACTCAAGGTAGCAAATCAAAATGTCCTCAAAAATAGTGAAGAGACCGGTACAGATGAATCAATGAAGGAACTGCCAGAAACTTCTTCTGGGAGATCAAGGTTTGAGCGAGACAGAAGGGATGAAGAAGATCCAGATCAGCCCCTTGCTATCCAATTCGGTACGTTGCCTCCCGTAGTGGCCAATAATTACCTACTGACCAATGAATTCAAGAATAAGGAAAAAGAAGAAGAGAGAGAGGACAACGAAGGAGAAGCTTGCGTGTTGGTATGTGAAGAAGACCAGACTTCTAGAGAGACCTAAAATGACGAGGAGGACGATGGGATGACAGACAT